GAAGGGGAGGTAGTGGAACCTGCCGTCCTTGTCTTCGCTCCGACCCTGCCCGAAGCGGTCGGGGTCGAAGACGTCCACGTCCTTGAAGACGGGGGCGGTGTCGTGGGTGTCCCGGATGCTGTACATGACGCTCCAGCCTTTGGGGATTTGGAAACCCTGCAGAGAAGAGGGAAGGGGTGGAGAGAAAACCAGAGCGAGTCAACCCTACTGCAAAGGGAGAGGGAGCGGGAGAACAAGATAAAGCCATTTGGCTTTGTCTGTGTTTTCCCATTTTCTTTGGGTTTATTACTCGAGCGTGATGCAGATTTAAAAGAAAACCAGAGAGCGCAGGGCAAAGGGCTGGGAGATGGGAATCCTGGGTTTATTCCTGCCTCTATCCCCAGGACCCGCCAGATGATCCGTTGCTATTTATTTGCTTTGCGGTCGCTGGCAGGAGTCGCCTACCAGGAACCCCGCGGTGCTCGACTGCCGCCGGGCAAAGGGAAGCAGCTTTTCTCGCGCCCGTGCCGTGCCCCGCGCGCCGGCCAGCCCTCCCCGGAGCATCCCATGGCTTTGCTCACACCCCGCCGCCTGTCAGCCCCGCACGCCCAACGCATACGTCAGGGCCTGGGCGATGAGAAACGGGGCGGATTTATCATCCCCTGAGCACTTTAAAAGGTTTCCGACTCAAATCATTACATTAGTAGGATTTACAGCGACAAGCCAGGTCTCAAGATTTTGTTTTGCTAGTAGGAAATTCCAGCCATTGTGGTGAGTAATCCGCCTGTCATCCAGCAGCCTGGAGATGCCCTTTGCAGTAAACCTTTCCCTTGTCACACCCCTGTTTAGTTTTTGGCATCAAACATTGTCACGAGTTGCTCTTTGAAGCATCACGCCTGCCTCCTCTTTGACAGCTCGAGTGTGTCCCTCGCCTGCCATGGGCCAGATCCCATCACCCTCTTCCGAATCCAGAGCAAGTCCACTTCCCATCATCATCAGGACTTAATTTGTCCTCCCTGGGGTCTCATCTAAGCCAGGCTCAAGCAAGTTTTGCAAAAAAGTGCAGAAGGCTTATTTGGGGAGCTCACGGTCCAGCCGCACCCCGAGGAGATGGCAATACTCACATCCAGCTCGAAGGTTTGCAGCACTGTCCGGTACCCCCCGGAGATGGGGGTGAAGAGGCGAAGCACCTCCTTGATGACGCAGTCCAGGTAGTGGAGGCTGTTGATGTTGTCCAGCCGGAGGGAGCCCTCGCAGATACAGCCGTTGTGGAGGATGCCCTTGCTGTGCAGCTCCTCCCGCAGCTTCTCCAGGACACGGGGGTGTTTGAGGAGCTGCATGATCAGAGAGGTGCTGGCGCTGGCGGTGGTGGCGTAGGCAGCGAAGATGAGCTCCAGGGTGCCATCCTGAAAGACAAGAGCAAAGCCAGGGTAAGACACGGGATGGACAGACAGACAGGTCAGCAGCCGCAGCAAGGGACAGGCACGCAGGCTGCCATGGGGCATTTTTTTCCCCAACAGCTCTCCAGTCCGGTCATGTCCCTGCAAGGTCCCTCCTTGTGCAGGCACAGGTCTTGGACACCCGCCACGGGGAGCTTCCCGCAGAGCCTTGGAGGATGCTGAGGACCAGATAGGCAGGAGAAAAAACCCTGAGGATGGCTCTTGATAGCACACGAAGGACAAGTTATGCCATGACCCTGCTGCAGATAACAACCTGCCGAGGGCTCTTTTGCCCTGCAAAGGAGGCACCATAAAACTGGATCAAGGGGTGAAGCTGGTCAAGGCTGAAAGCTTCAGCAGACTTGTACGGTCTTTTGGTATTCCCTGGAAATGCTTTTTAGAAAGGGCTGAGCATGAACTGCAGATAAATATGGCCCGACAGAAAGCAACTGGCTTGTCGGCACCATAATCCACCAGACCAGGATTCACCTGCAGCTCCAACAACGCATTGTGGTCCCCCAGCTCTCACTGACCATCTCAGGTTTGCCCCAAAAAATCCTCCTTACAGCAGCTCACGCTTTGCTCTTTGGGGAGCCCCTGCCCTGAGCACAGCAAGGACAAGGTGGCCGTGGGGAAGATCTTTACCTTCAGCTCCTGCATGGTGAGCTCCTTGCCGTGCTCTTTGCCGCTCTCTATCAGGATGTCCAGCGCATCGGCGTAGTCCTTGCCCTGCGTGTTCTGCAGTTTCTCCTGAATGGCTTTCTCCAGCCCCTTCTGCAGCGTCTCGCGTGCCCGGATGCCCTGCGGAGTGGAAAGCCATCAGACCACGCGGGACACAACGCTACCACCAGCATCCCCAGCCCAGTGTCCCCAGGAGCTGGAGGTGTGCTTAGGACAACATGTTTAAGTAATACAACTGCAATTGCAGATGCTCAAAGAGAAGAATAAAGATGCTGAGGTTGTTCCCTGGGCAGGACGAGCAAGCCCCAAGCAGGCAAGATTACAGGCAAGAGTAATCAGCACCTACGTGCAAATGATAGGTCTGATGTGGGAGCCCCAGTACTGCACCAGTTCACAGGCCTCCGGCTCACCCTGGGATGTTTAGCAGTCCCTGGGAAAATTGTGTCTCAAAGGAAAGTCAATTCATTCGAAAGCATCCTCTTCCCGGGAGCGTAATGGGCTTCCCGAGCAATTTTATCACCTGGTCTCAGTAAAGCAATTTCTATCAGAGTGCAGCTGCACTGGGCTAACCTGCTGCTGCAAATGCTTTGGGGCTGCAAACGGTTGGGCTCATTCACGTGGTGAAATAACAATAACAAAATTTGCAGTGAGAATCACAAAAATAAATTTTAAACCCCTGAATTTCTGTTACCAAAATTCCCCATGAAAAAAATATAAATTTTTGCCTATGTTTTTTATTATGTTTCTGTTTAGCACCATTTATTGAAAAATGAGAACAGCTCATGGAATTAGAAGGTCCACTGACCTGTTTCGCCCTGGGGACAGGAGGGAATTAACAGGAGAAGGGTCCCACAAACAAAAAATACAGCAAAACTGCCAGTTACAAGTGAGGAAAAATCACCCATTAAATCTGGGCAAATCCTGACCACCTTCTCTCTTGCATTGAACCGCAGAGTCCCTAGTGCTCTAAAAACCTATGAATAGATCTCCCTTTCCACTCTACCAAAACAGAACTTTGTAGCCCAAAAATGGACCTGCTTCTAGAGGTCAGAGGGTGAGAAGACATCCCACCAAGAACGCATAGAGATGGGTATTAGCCACTGTCCCATTAATCCCAATAATTTGGTGTCATTGGCTGGTGGAGGACTTAACCCAAATCTCTTACCCTCCTGTATCCGCTGAAGGGCAGATCCACAGGCAAGGAGAAGACATTCTCCACGAACTGCTGGTAGACCTCGAAGAGGCGGTTGAGCTCCTCATCAGGGATGCGGAAGCCCAGCAGGACACGGATGGCCATACGGAAGGTGAGCTTCTGGGTCTCATGGTAGACATTGATGGACTCGGGGTTACTGCTCCAGGCCCGAAGGGTGTCTTTGATCACCAGCTGGATCTTGGGGAGATAGCTCTCCAGTGCCTCATGGCTGAAGATTTTGGAGAAAACCTACAAAAGAGAGTGAGCAGAGATTTCTACACAGGCCCAACACCCTCATCTTTGCCTTCTCAGCTTCTGCCCACAAAAATGGACATCACAGGTTTCCTGCACTGAGCAGAAGACTTGTCAGAATTCATCACCCAGAATCACCAGTTCCTAAAATAGCTGCCAAAAAGGGTCGATGGAGAAATACCAGCTGACAGGTCCTCTGCAGGCTGACCCCCACCACAACCATCACAAATGATGGGCAATAACACGGTGCAAACCAGAGAGAGGAGGAAACGCTTCACCCCGCACATGGCAGGATGGATGGAGCTGGCTTTCCCGCAGCTCCATGTCTCATGGCTCCCAGTTACATTCATCCCACGATTTGGGATACTTCTCTTCCACGGGGATTCTCTAGCATCTAACATTACGGTTGTGCATGCACGCAGACACAGGCAAGCTTTTCTCTCAGTGGGAAGCATCGGCAGTTTCTCCCACCTCTCAACCACCCTTTTTTAATATACGTAGAAAAGAAAGTAAAATAATTATTCTGAGGCATTTAGGATCTCTGTGAAATCTGGCTGAACTTAGACAGGGGTTCAAGTGGGGAAGAGAGGCACACACGTACCCAGAGGCTGCCATCGCACACGGCTCATTTCCTTGGGAAACCGGGCAAAAAAACCTGATGTCAGTAGACGGTATTAATTTAAGCTCTGCGAGTAAACACTGCGCGGGAGTGGGCCTCCCCAGGTCTCCGATGCTAATGGCTCCTTACTCCAATTTGGGCCAGGGCCCGCGCGTTGCGCGAGGAGCTCAGCAATGCCAGGAATGTCCCTTCAGCCCTCCCCGGCGCAGCCCACAGCACACGCTTTCATTCGGCATCCCCGCCGCATCCCTCCCAGAGTGCACCGGCGGAAAAAGTGCTGTTTGTTTATTTTTTATTAACCTACACACACACACAGGGCAGCACGCACACATGCACTGCCACATGCCAGGCCTCCGGGAAAATCAAATTAGAACAGGCTCCCGAGGAGGGAGCTGCAAGCCTGCGTAGCCTCCACCGGTGGCCAGTTCCCAGGGGGGCTCGATGCACGGTGGGGGAGCTGCGAAGTTATCAAACCAACGAGAGGAGAGAAATCAAAGCCGCCCCCTCTTTCCACGAGCGCCGGACTCGCTGGAGCTGTAAATGTGAGAATTTCCTCCGCAGTCAGCACTCAAAGGGAAAGGTAACATTTTCCTGGCTGCGACCCCTCATTGCTAATGCACATCGTTTGCTGGGAGTTTGTTTGGTGAAATAACACCTCTGTCCCCTCGCAGCCCCGGGCAGGAGGCTCGACAACAGCCACTTCATAACGAGCTGCGCTCGGGCTGAGCCCCGAGTAAAACTCATCACACAATACACGGTGGGGCAGAGCTCGGAGGCTCCCCGTGGAAACATCAGCATGCAAATGGAATGGTAGCAGGGATGGGAGAGAGAATGCAAGCAGACCAACGGCCAGATCTGCCTGCAGACAGACGGCCATCCCCGGACGGCTACGCAGAGCGGAGGCATGAATGAACGGAGCGGAGGCATGAATGAACGAAGAGTGGGGCCGTGGCGAGATCACGGCGGGCGCGCGAGACGGCGCGGCTGCTGCTTTCTGCCACCTCTCCGTGCTGCACAGGCTATTTTTAAGCCTGGAAAGGGCAGCGATGCTCAGGCCGACCTGCCTGTGTGAGGGGATGAAAAAGCAGCCACTCGGAAAAGAAAAGCTGGAGATGCTGAAGCTGAGCCCCTCGGCTGCCTGGGAAAGGTAGGAAGGGAGCTGGGAAAGGGCCGGTTCCTGGTGGCCATGAGCAGGACACCAGGCTTTGAGGCAGTGGAGTAGAGCTGGCAGCCACAAGCTGCTCGACAGGGATGGGACAAGACCTCCTGAGTGGGTCCAGCAAAGGGACACCAACGTCTCCCCATCCGGCTGGTGTCTGCCCTTCATCCATGCTGAGGGGTTTGGGATAAGGACGGAGGCTCCAAGTGAATCACCCTGCTCTCCCCAAACGCTTCCCGTGCCTCAGTTTCTCCAGCTGAAAGCAGAGCCGATGAGGGGACAGCCTCTGCTTAAGGAGTGCCGAGGCTGCAGCCCTGCTCGGAGCCACCGTCCCGATGGAGGTGGCCCCTGGGGCTCCTAACCCCGTCCTCCCCCAGCTCTGCCCAGCATCTCCCACAGGCAAAGTGCTCGGGGATCCCCTACACCCTGCAAAAAGTACGGCAGCCCAAGAAATGCCTCTGGTCCCGCTGTGCAAAACTGCTGCCATGGTGCAGAGAACCAGCCCGGGGCCGGATCCACACCCCGCGGACGCTGAAGAGGAGAACGCCTGTCCCATGGAGCGACGGCGCAGAGGAGGGGACCCTCAGGAGGAGAAGACTGAGCCCCTATGGAGGTCAACACAGCACCTGCCCAGCCTGAAAAAGGGGGAGCATTTAGCGCTAGGGGGTTCGGGGGGGATTTTTTTTCTTTTTTTTGCTCTTTTTTGAGCTGTCCTTTTGCTATCAGGCTCCTCCAGCCCCAG